AGTGTTGTCCAGTTTTACCTTGGGGAAGAGCACCTCATTTCGTTGCACCCACTTGTGAGCGCAATGACAAATAAATTTCTTATGTCTTATGTCTTATGTCTTAAATGATACAAGCGCCCTCCTCTTATGGTATAGACATTGGGCTCACAGAAATGGTGAATGAGTGAGTTAATTAATCAGTGTTCAGTGGTTCATAGGTGTGATGATTTGACTAGACACTCATTGTTACACATGTGGGTTGTTTCCGGTTCATGCGTTGAGTCCACTCTGCACCTGCTTTTGCCTCCAACCCACAGAAGGAACGTCAGGACGGTGAATCCATCCGCTTGCCCGGCTCTGAGACCGTCTTTGAACGAAAAGGGTTGAAGCCTGGGGAAGAATATGTCGTGACCATCCGGACGGAAAAAGGACAGCGCTACGGGCCCCCTGTCACCCAGACCGTGCGCACACGTATGTAACCTGAAAAGAGAGGTGTATATATTTGCATGTATGAGGATCCCTTTGTCTCGCTCTGTCTCTTCCTGACTTTCTCTGCGACCCGGATTGTTTCTTCTTCTTTTCTTTCTTCCTTTTTTTTAATCCAAAATGGTGGGCATATCTATAAATTCCTTTCCTGTGTACTTTTCATACGCAGATCTGGAAAGAGGGTTAGTTAGTCAGTCAGTCAGTCAGTCAGTCAGTCAGTTAGTTAGTTAGTTAGTTAGTTAGTTCGTTCGTTCGTTCGTTCGTTCGTTCGTTCGTTCGTTCGTTCGTTCGTTCGTTCGTTCGTTCGTTGAAATTACAACCTTCTGATTCCCCCCAGCCGGAACATCTATTTCGTTGTTTAAAAATTGATTTATGGGGAGCGGGAGGTGATTAAGGGGTTGTGAGATGGTGAAGAAAGATTGCTTTGGGACCAAAATCATAACCTGTCACATGATCCAGTCTCTTTCTGGGTGATTATCATCATTTGTCAGGATGAGAATGATTTCCTGATCTCTCTCTCTCTCTCTCTCTCTCTCTCTTCATTCATGCATGTGCCATCAACGTGCATGATACCTTACGGAATGAAAGACAATAGTTCCATGACCTTAAAATTTTACTTTCCATGTTTATGTATGGGTATGGATACTTATAACAGAACGTGGTGGCACTGCGGGTTAAACCGCAGAAGCCTCTGTGCTGCAGGGTCAGAAGACCAGCAGTCATAAGATCGAATCCACGCGACGGAGTGAGCTCCCATCGCTTGTCCCAGCTCCTGCCAACCTAGCCGTTCGAAAGCATGTAAATAGGTACCACCTCAGTGTGAAGGTAATGGTGTTTCGTGTCTAGTCGCGCTGGCCACGTGACCACGGAAACTGTCTACGGACAAACGCTGGCTCTACGGCTTGGAACCGGGGATGAGCACCGCCCTCTAGAGTCAGACACTAGCAGACTAAATGTCAAGGGGGACCTTTACCTTTACCTATAGATCCTTATAGCTGGCTGGATAGCTCAATGATTTGGCCACCTGGCTGTAGAGCCAGAGGTTTGGACTTCAATTTTCCAGGGCACACAATTGCTCTTTTATTATCAGGACACTTACACATATATAGCTGTATTGGTCTATTAAGTTTGAAAACAAAATCTTGAATTCGACACAAAATGGAAGCAAATGCTTTAAGGAACCTTAGGTGGCAAAGTTATAAAGCCATTTAAGCCTAGAACACTTATAGATACAGTGGTGGCTCGCTTAACGAGTGCACCGTTTAACGATGAATCCGCATAGCGATCTATTTTTTAGATCGCTAATGCAACCGCATTGCGATGTTCTGAATAGGCAAAACATCGCATTGCGATGATCGGTAAGCGTTTCGCTTACCGATCTTCGCATTGCGATGTTTTTTTAAACAGCTGATCGGCGGTTCCAAAATGGCCACCGGGTGCCCAAAATGGCCGCCGCAAGTGTTTTCGCGCCCTACCCTCGCTTACCGATAGGGCACACAATTGCTATTTTATTATCAGGACACTTATACATATATAGCTGTATTGGTCTATTAAGTTTGAAAACAAAATCTTGAATTCGACACAAAATGGAAGCAAATGCTTTAAGGAACCTTAAGTGGCAAAGCTATAAAGCCAATTAAGCCTAGAACAATTATAGATATCTCATTTAGCACAAATGCATTTATATGTTTTTTGCAGCATGTGACTAAGAGAACCTATATTTTAAGTACTTCTTCCTGGAATGTAATTAGTCTATTATTTGGGAGGTGAATTTGGGAGAAAGCTATGGCTTTCTCCGTTCCGATTAGCGATGTTTCTGCATAGCGACGATTAATCCGGAACGGATTAATGTCGCTATGCGGGGCACCACTGTATCTCATTCAGTACAAATGCATTTATATGTTTTTTGCAGCATGTGACTAAGAGAACCTATATTTTAAGTACTTCTTCCTGGAATGTAATTAGTCTATTGTGAGATAAAAAATCAATCCCTTTTCCTAATTTATTAAATTAATTGGTCCAGCAGGGAACCATGTTTGCCCATACCAGTTTCTTACATGTGGTAGGCCACTTTCTCCTGCGTGTCCCCCCTTTAAGTCACATTAACAGTTCGTACATCCTGCTATGTTCTTCCTCAAAACATCACCTTCCTCATTCTCAATTTTAAAGCCCTCTGTCACATCATCTCTTCCCACCTCTTCTTGCTACTTTAATTCTGGAGCCTGGAAAGGTTACTTTTTTAGACTTCATTTCCCAGAATTTCTTCTGTAGGGTGGGGTATTCTAAGAGTAAGCAATCCATGTTAAATGCCTTTTCCAAGCATTGCTTCGTTCTACAGCCTTTCTCCTGCCCTTCCAAACTGGCTCTCCTCTCACTCCCATTCCAACGGATTGCCTCCTATATATTTATTCCTAGGGGTGGCTCCTCCCTATGGCCTACAGTCCTCACGGGTGACGGAAGACTCCATGACTTTGCAGTGGGAACCTCCCAGCTCTCCCCCCGACGGCTACATCTTGAGCTACATCCCGGTGGGCGCCCCTCGGCCCGTTCAAGCCGCCAAACGCATTGAGCTTCCAGCAACCCCGGAAAGTGTCACCTTGACAGACCTGGAGAGCAACACCCGATACCGCCTCACCCTCATCGCTCGCCAGAAAGGAGAGAATAGCCGAGCCACCAGCGTTGTCGTCAGCACTACTGGTAGGGCACTTGTGTGAAAAGCTGTGTAGTTCTTGCTCGCCGTTGTTTCAGCTGGCGTGGGGTAACCGGAGCAACGCTGGATCATCAGCTTCTTAACAGGCATTTAGCCGCCCGTTTCTGGACATAGGATGCAGTGCCTGGAGAAGTTACTTTTCTTGGACTACAGTTCCCTCAGCTTCCCAGATAGCATGGTCACCAGAGCACTGGGAGTACTGGGAGTTGTAGTGTAAAGAAAGAATTACAGTGGGGCCTTGCAAGACGATTTTAATTCGTTCTGCGAAAATCGTCGTCTTGTGAAAAAATCATCCTGCGAGTTTCCCTATGAGAACCTCACAAGACGAATGAAATTTATTCATCTTGTGAAGCATGGGTCTCGGGGAAAAAAAATGTCTTGCAAAGCACCATAGGGATTCGAAAAAAAAACACGTCTTGCAAAGCACCATGGGGATCGCAAAAACCAATCGTCTCACGGGTTTTTCGTCCTGTGAGGCAATCGTCTAGCGAGGCACCACTGTATTCCAGAACCTGGTTAGGTAAACTAGGATCCAGGAGAAATGGAACTAGAGGAAGACCCTGGTTAGGTAAGCTAGGATCCAGGAGAAATGGAACTAGAGGAGATAACACAAGGATACCCACACAAAACGGCAATGCTGTGGCAATTTCTCCTGCCCCTTTCAGTGCAATTTGTAGGCAGGAGATGGGACACAACTCACAATGCTGTGGCGTCTGCACAGGAAATGAAAAAGCATGAGATGATGTTTCACTGTGAGGTGCAGGAGAATTCAGCTCACAATTGCTCTTTTCAGGAGCAGCCCTGTCGGAAGAAAGGCAGGTCAGTGGTAGAGTATCTGTTTTGCACATGCAAGGTCCCAAATTCAGTCCTTGCCACCTCTAGGTAGGGCTAGAAAAAACCAATCTGTCTGTTTTGAATTTGTCCATTCCCCCCCCCCAAAAAAGTCAGTTCAGGTTCTTAAAAGCAGCAGGGTGAGCATTAAAACTCAGTGCCTTTCCAGTAGGATCATTTAGGCATCCACTACGCCACAAGATACTGGTTTACAGTTTTGAATTATGTAGAACAATGCATAATACACAAGTTCAGACAAATGAGATTTCCTCCTCTTACATCTTTTTTCTCCCCAGCGACTGGATTCCTTTTATTATATATACAGTGGTGCCTCGCTTAACGAGCGCACTGTTTAACGACAAATCCACATAGCGACCCGTTTTTTGCTATTGCATTGTGATGTTTTAGGTGCCTAAACATCGCATTGCGATGATCGGTACCTAAACATTGCATCGTGATGATCAGTAAGCGTTTCGCTTACCGATTATCGCATTGCAATGTTTTTTAAACAGCTGATTGGCAGTTCCAAAATGGCCGCCGCATCCACGAAATGGCCGCCCGCAGCGTTTTCGCGCCCTGCCCTCACTTACTGGGCAGCGAAAATGGCGGCCGGATGGAGGATTCCCCGCATAGCGGTGAGTTTTTCCCCAATAGGAACACATTAAACGGAGTTTAATGCTTTCCTATGGGTTTTCCTCCCTGCATAGCGACGAATTCGGATAGCGACGTTAATCCTGGAACGCATAAACATCGCTATGCGGGGCACCACTGTAATTCTAGAATTAGACATGCAATGGAAACCACTATTTCTATTCCAGAGATAATCTGGATACCCACCAGCTTCACTCTTTAATGCGGTTTCACAATTACACCTTTTTTGTCACTTGAGTGAGCACTCCTTTTACAAATGGACTTCTCTGAATGGGTGTTTTGGTCCTAAGTGCACAACTGTCTGTCTGTTGGAAGAAGCATCCTCTGACTGGCAAAAGCTTTATATGTTTTACAGCAGCTCTGCTTCCTTATATCCCTTTTATGCAGAGGCTGGGAAAGTTACATGTTTGGACTACAACTCCTGGAATGCTACAGCTGTGAAATTGTGGGAGTTGTAGTTGAACAAGAAGTCCAACTAGTTCTAACTAATAATTTCAAGAATCAAACTTACTGGTACCATAAGGCAATTTTAAACTTTCTCCTCAAGCTTTTTCCTTAACATTTTTGCACTGACACCTGCTGTGTCTGAGACATGCTGAGTGTGGACACTGTGCCTGTCCCCTAGCCACCCCCTCCCCAGAGCTTGATTTCCCATCTAGCTTAGTTTTCTGCATGTCTGTATTTTTTCTTACATTTATATTCCGCTTTTCCTCCCGTGAGCTCAGGCTGGCGTCCATGGTTTTCCTCCTCTCACTCTGAACCACACAAATAAACAGCAGAACAAAGAACAAACTTTTAAAATACAAGAGGCTCATTTCCACACCTTCTCCTTGTGTGACTAGTTTAAAGGCGCTGGCCTATAAATACCTTTAAGATTTTAAAAGAGCAGGACATTTAAACATTAAATGCCTTCAAATGACTCTTATCTCCAGTCATTGATCAGAAACAAGAATGGGGCTTTCCCCGTTTAGTACTGAATGGACCCTTTCCCACCACATCCTCATGCAATGCCCATCTCAACTGCTTAGCAACCATCCGTTTGCTGCCTATGGGCCATAGTTTGTGCTCCTGCAGGACAAGCAAATGTATATCCCCCCTGTTCCCATAATACTGTACAGAGAATAGGAAGTAGAAATCTTCTGAATAAGAAAGTAAAGGCCCCTTCTCTCAGTGGCATTTCCCCAGTCTTCAGAGCAGGTACTGTATAGGATGCTAGTGCGGATTAGCTTTTAGACAAAATCTACATTTTGGATATCTCTACATTTGGTTTTTTCGTGTCAGGACTTCCCATGAGGACCAGTGGGGGCTGTCGTTCTGTAGAAGGATGTGTGCCTCCTATAATTATTTTTAAGCACCCTCAGAAAATGACAACTCCCCCTGAATTCCTTTGTGCTGGGATTCCACTGTCATTATTCTGGACTCTATCGGTCGCATCTGCTTCTGAGATGAAGACATGGATAACAGAAGAGCATGCCAGGAAGCTGAATGGAAGCTGAATGAGTGTGTGAAACGGCCATTGAATGAAGATGATGAGACTGACTAATTTTTTGTTTTGTTTTGTTATTCCTTACAGGAATCTCATTACAATTTTCTCTCCTTTCCACTCTAGGATTATCTCATTCCTTTCTGCAGGAACTTCTGGTGTCAAGGCGGCCAACCTTACTATCGCTCTAAACTCATCCCTTATTTATGCTTTCTCCATTGGGCCCCCAGGTCTCTGAAGATCAGGCACGTGGCGGTGGGACCAAGATGGCAACAGTATGAGGGGGGGTCTCAGATTAACTCTTTCCCTTCTGTTACAGCTGAGAAGAAAACCCAACCGTGCCAAGCTATGGGATTGGCTGATTTGGAGAGAGTAGGGAGACGGAGGCATTGGACTTTAGTTTTTAGCACCAATCTTTGGAAAAGTTACATTTTTGGGACTGTAACTGGCCATCGGCCATGCTGGCTGGAGGATTATGGGTGTTGTAGTCTGAAAAAAAGTAGCTTTTTCTAAGCTCTGGTGTTCCTTACGTCCATGTATCTCACCTCCTTAGCATATTTCCATCCAGTCCTTGGATGTAACTGCCTCCCTTTTTGATCCCACCAGCACTAGCTCCAAGGCAACCCGTCCGCCGCTACTCAACACCGTCCCCCTCCTTCCAGCCAAAGCCTGGCACTTCCTCCTCCTCCTCCTCCGAACATGAAAACTGGAAGCCAAGCACTGGGTCGCAGCTGGGCCCCAGCCCTTCCAACTCCACCTCAAGGGCCAAGGAGCTCTTCCTGAGGAAGATGACGCAGAACATCTCGGACAAGCTTTCCTCCTACAACGGGACCCTCCTCGAGCGCTTGGAGAGCTACCTCCGGGCCACGAACTTCCCTGCCCAGGGCAATCGGACCATCGAGGCGGTGGCCAGGGACATCTACCTCTACCTTGTCCGATGGAAGCCGAAGGAGTTCCAAGAGAGAGTCAAGGAGAGGCTTGTGGAGGAGACGAGCGATATGTTCCCCCCAAGCAGCTCCCCTGTGGTGGGGGGAGCCAAAAGTGTCTACTCGGAGGGATACCTCCGTCCGGAGCACGCCAAACCATCGGTGATCACCAGCTCTCCAGATGGCATCGAAGTGTCCTTGGATGGCGTGAGAGGGGTCTCGGACAACGTGGTGATACGCTTCCGAAACACCAAGGATGGAGCAGGAGGGGAAGTCGTGGTCCCCGGAGACACGTCCATGGCAGTCATCACCGGCCTGGATCCGGGCACCACCTACCAGGTGGAGATCCACGGTGTGGTGAAAGGACATTCCTCTAAGTCGTACTCTTTTATCACTTCCACAGGTACCTGGGTTGGTAGGAACCCCGTCTCTTCCCACCTGGTTCGTTGTCATCTTCTGCTTGAGTTGTCGTCACCCGCCTACCTTCATCCCTGTTGCTGACCAACTGAGTTCACGTTGCACCCACACCCCTGCGGCCAAACTCTTAACCCCATGTTGCTTTCACACTTTCCAGGAAGGTGCTCGGACACCCGTCTTCTAACCCATCTTTCTCTTTTTGAAAAGAATGTTGTTTTTGTTCCTCTTGTATCGTCCCTCACGCAGGTGTCGGTCTCCGCCGTTACCTTTGTCTTCCTTATCCAAAGAATGCTCAGCACTGAAGTTTGTTCAGACTGTTGTGTTTTGCTACATGCTACGTCCTGCAGGAGAACCTGCTTGCCAGCAGCCCTTTTCTGTGTAGTCCGTGCTTGCTTGAACTGTTCTTAGAGGTGAATTCACACCTTCCCCTGCGCTAAAACAAGAAAGGAACAAGTGGAGTAGTGTAGCCTTTTTGTTAAAATTGTTTATAACTGTTCAAGACCTGGGAAAGTTAGTTTAGAAAAGTATTATAGATGAAGTTTCAGGGCCCAAACATAACTATTATTGTATTCTCAAAGGCTAATTGCTAACTGCCTTATCTCCAAGGGTGGACAGAGTTTTCATTTATGTGGAATGGAGGTGTAAGAGAGACCTTCACAGCTCAGAGTACTAAACTCTAGAATAATTTTTTTAAAAAAACTTTCCCTCAAATCTTCAGGTATAATTTATTATCAAGAGTATCAGAATAATCACACTTGTATTCTCAAAGGCTTTCATAGCCAGGATCCGATGGTTGTTGTGGGTTTTTGGGCTCTTTGGTCGTGTTCTGAAGAACATGGCCAGGTTAGGCATCCTTCAGTCTCAAAAGACTATGGTAACGTGCTCTGTATGGAGGACTTGGAACAGCGTCTAGTGTGGCTGAGGAGGCTGATTCGAGAGTGACAATCCCTTCCACACTGAGGACAAATACAATCTGTCCCCTCTGTCCAGCTCCCTGATTTGGCTGCTTTCGGGACTGCCTCTTTGCCTCAGCCTGCTGGACAAGGGTCTCTTCAAATTGGGAGAGGCCGTGCTTCACTGCCTGCCTCCAGGCTGAACATTCAGTTGTCAAGGTTTCCCATCTGTGAAGGTCCATTCCTAAGGCCTTCAGATCCTGCTTGCGGATATCCTTGTATCGCAGCTGTGGTCTCCGTCTGGGGTGATTTCCCTGCACTAATTCTCCATACAGGAGATCCTTTGGAATCCAACCATCACCCATTCTCACGACGTGCCCAAGCCAACGTAGACATCGCTGTTTCAGTAATGTATACATGCTGAAAATTCCAACTCGTTCTAGGACTACTCTACTTGGAACTTTGTCCTGCCAGGTGATAACATGGCCAAAGAGCCCGAAAAACCCACAACAACCATAACTATTATTATTTCTATTAGTTCACATTATTTACAATTTATAAGAAGCCTTTGTTTCTTGTTATTCCTATTGTAACTAAAGTAGTTAATTTTTACATTTTTACCCTGCTTCCCCACTAAAGGTGTCCTCTCCTGTTATCTTCAAAACTATATAGGGTAGATTAAGACACAAACTAGGCCCAAATCACCCTGTGAGGATCTGCATTTCCCTATAATAAATAACGGTAATTTTTATATCCATTATCCTTAACCCTGCTGGTTGGATAGCTCAGCAGTTTAGGTATCTGGCTGTTGGGAGCCAGAGGTTGGGAGTCTGCTTCCCTCCTGGGCTTTCTACAAATAGAGCCAGCCTGCGTAGCTCAGGGCAAGCTGTAGAACCCGAAGAACAGAGAGCGAACCACTTCTGTTTATTCTCTACCTTGAAAGCCCTGAAAATGAGTCTTCGTAAGTCGGAATGGACTTGATGGCGCATGGTGGTGATGATGATTCTTCATAGTGAAATGACTGGCACCGTTTTTAGCAACAGGGGAAATTGCACTTTCCAAAATCTCCTTCAGAAACGGAACTTAAGGATTTGTTTTAATTTCTGTTCACATCCCACTGAATGTGAAGCTCCTCTGAAATGTTCGCTCCTCGGCTCGTACCTCGGTGTCACGCGGTGTTTTTATCCACACCCTTGCATTTCGTTTTCCTTTGTTTTCTGTTGTCTAGCCGACTCTGGTCGAGTGTCCGGACGGGCTACCTGTTTCACCGCTGTCGTCGTCATCTCCTTCTAGGCAAAGCCATGCCCTCCAGCACTCGTCTTCATGTTGCTTCTGTGTGGTTAAATATTTCTTTTTCCCCAATTATCATTTTTTGGGGCAGAAATTTCAGCTTTTGCTACACATCTGTCAAACCAGCTCACCCTGTTGTTGTTATTGCTGCTGCTGCTGCTGCCACCATCCACATCTTAGCCCTTAAGTGTCCGCCTTGAAATAAGTTATATAACTGAGGGGTGTGTGTGTCTGTGTGTGTGTGTGTGTGTGTGTGTGTGTGTGCGTGTGTGTGCGTGTGTGTGTGTTTGCACGCATGTGTGTTTTTCTTCTCAGGGAAGCGTTCTCTTTCTGTGGCATGAATGAATAGAAAATTCTCTCCCCTTTTTCTGGGAGATGCAAAGTGTCAGCTTTGATGTGGATTTGTCTTGCTAGCATACCTCTCAGCTAAACTTAATTAAATACACTAGGACATCCCTATCTGCAGGATCAGTATCCACTGATTCATTTATCTGCTGCCTGAAAAAAAACCAACCACCCAGAAATGTATTTCCAGTGTGTATTTACCAGAACTGGCCACTAGAGAGAGCCAGAAACCATGCAATTTATAGTGTTTTATACTTTCACATTTTAGTGTCCATAAGGAGGCTTGGAAACACTTGCAAATTGCTGAACTATCCTTTCCACCAGTCCCCATTTTTAGAATGAAAACTGATCGTATGTCGAGGTGGACGTCTCAGACAGCTTATCTGCATTCCCATTTTCTTCCAGAGGGGAAATGCATATATGTTTTGGCTTTTTAGCTGAATATCAGGGGGACGGAAGGCATTGTTCAAATCTTTTTACCTGTCACAAAAATTTCTATCTTTTCTTAACTGAGAAGAGCGCTAGAAATGAATCCAAGCCTTTTGTGCATTCAAAGCAAGGAAAAGGTGATCCAGGATAATGTTATCCGTCACAGGGTAAAGTCTAACTGGCATCACAAAGGCTCCCAAAGAGAAGCCTAAATTAAGGGGTAGGGTCCAAAAAGCACCAAGGTGTTGCTGAGTGGGAGCAAAGGCCTTGTGAAACACAGAAACCTGAGATTGGGAAATATTTTGAGGCTGCAGCAAATTCTATTTATGTCTTGAAAATCTTTGTGAGCAAACATTCAAAACTCCCTTAATGTATAAATTTAAATGGCATTAAATTTGTGGATTTTACATAACACGGCTAGTAAAATGATTGAATTTGGCATGTTAATTAGTGCCTTCATAACCACACATTTTTGCCTTGGTTCCATAGCAGGAATAAACTAGGTTGTGGTTACTGTGGGGACACTAAACTTACACAGATGTTCAAAAGAGATCCACTCCATTCCAGCTAGCAGTAATTTGTCTATAAAAGCTAGGAAATAACTATGCAAAGTTTATTGCACCTCTTGCACAATGAGAACATGGTGTTGGTGACTCACATCCGTGATATGGATCGCCACATTTTACTTGAAGCATTATTCCAAATACAGTCCAAATCATAGTGTTCATAACAGTTGTCAATGCCGCAGAGATGCGAATTTTTGGTTAAATTTCTCTAGCTGCACAGCAGAATTGCAGGGATTCACAGAGCAGAATAGCTTCGCCGGAGTAGTCCACCCTTTTCTCATTAGCTGTCACTTAGTCTCAGTAACTTACTCTGATTTGTAAGAAGAAGAAAATAAAATGTTTCAATACTTACAGATCAACAGCAAACTGACAAACACGACTGCTTTCAACAACAGACTTCTACAGATGATAAGAGAGGGAAAGGAATAGAGAGAAGTGGGCCTCTCTTTGAATCTAGAGGCAGGAAAGGAACAATTGGTTAGTGCTGGATAGATTAAGAGTCACCCCAGGCCACAAAGGTCTCTCTTAGCCAACCCTACTAAAGGCAGCATGCGAGGTTGGAAAAACCCCAGCAGTCAAGACATTTTCCATCTCTAATTTTGAAACCCAGGGCATGGAGAATTATGCTGGCTGGATTAAAACCGGGCATGTGGTAAAGTGTGAAATCTTCCAGAAAGAAGTTTCTGCCTCTCTGACTCCACCTCTGTCTCCCTTCAGCTCCCGCATCACCGACTCCTGCCAAGACCCAGCCAGTCCCGACCACCACCTTAAGCCCTGAACTGCCACTGAAGGACCTCGCGGTGACGGACGTCTCTCCAAACAGCCTCCGGGTGACTTGGTCAGCCCAGCCCAATGCCTACCGCAGCTTTGCCCTTCAGTATAGGGACCCCAAATCCACCGCACCCCCTGGGGAAATCAAAGTCCCAGGGACGGAGCGGAGCGTTGATGTGGTGGGGCTGAGCCCCAGGACAGAGTACGAACTGCAGCTGCATGGGGAGAAGCCCAGCGGACGCTACGATGCTCCGCTCACGACAAAGGCATCAACAGGTACCTCTCTCTCTCTGTAGTTCGCTTCCCCCTGACCGACCAACCTCCTTTTCCCTCTAGAAGATCTTCTGCAGCTGATGCAAAGGGCATCTCAGGACAGATCATTTTGATCGTATCCGGGAGTTTTTCTAGCTCATTTACTACTTTTCCCCCCTGATATTTCTTCATTTCAGCTTTTAGCATTTTTGTTTTCCTATTGCGATGTGTAAGAACTCTAGGTTCAGTGCCGTTTCCTGGGAATCTGAGAGTAAAATTGCATGTCAAAGGAATTGCCTATTTCTTGCTATTACAGCATTTTCTTTCCAGGCAAATCAGACTTTTAAAACTAAATTGGGGCCTATGGATCATTTGAACCTTTTATCCTCTCCTTTTTAAAAATATTGATATATTTGTATGTGTTGTCACGTGGTATATATACCTCTGGGCCCATTCATGTGGCTGACATTTAAATCGGTACATTTCTTGCTATTTGTACTGATTCTGTAGGCTACATGCACAGGTAATCATTGCATATTAATCAATAGATTTTTCTGTCGTGTTTCTGGGTCCCCATTGCCCTAAAATTTTCTCTTTTTAAAAAAAAAATTGCTAAATCGGCATATGCATTGGTGCACGATAACTGGAGAAGGTAGTAAAACTGTAGATGGCAGTATTAGAATTCGATTACCGTAATAACTGCGTACTGTATGGACACTGCACCATTTGTTAGGTGTAAATGCACTTTATATCTCTCTGGACGTTAAGTGGGCTGTTGCTCCACATTGAAAGGAGTCCCTGACTTGAAAAAAGTAAGCAATTGATTGCTAAGCGTTTAAAAAAAGAACCCGACCTGTTCACACAGTAAATATATTGACAGAAACATGCACATGAGACAAATTGATAAGCATTAAAGCAACAGGAATCTGATTACAGTGGTGCCTCGCATTACGACGTTAATTCGTTCCAGCAAAATCGCTGTAGAACAAAACCGTCGTAATGCGAAAATAAAAAGCCCATTGAAACGCGCTGAAACCCCTTCAATGAGTTCCAATGGGCTGGAAACTCACCATCCAGCGAAGATCCTCCATAGGGTGGCCATTTTCAGTGGCTGTCTTGCGAGGAATCCATCCAAAAACACAGCAGGGAACCATTTTATTTACCCAGCGGCCATTTTGAAACCACCGAGGAAGATCGTTGTTTTGCAAAGAATTGGTTCCCAAAGCAGGGAACCAATCATCACAAAGTGAAAAAAACATTCAGACCATCTTTTTGTGATTGCAAAAAGATTGTCGTAATGCGGTTCCGTTGTAATGTGGGGCAATCGTAAAGCAAGGCACCACTGTATTTTTAAAAGGCCATGCAGGTGAGGTGTTAAAAACCCAATTGGTTGGCCAAATGAACATTACCTGTGTGTCGCATGAAAAGAAATTTATAGAACAATTTAAGTAATGGCCGAATCTATATAACTGGGGTTCTTTTGGCAACTGGGATCAAGCCTTCAGCCCCGTAGACCAAGGCCATGTTTTCTTCCTGATAGTACAGTGGACCCTCGACTTACAGACGGCTCCACTTACAGACTTTTCGAGTTACAGACTTCTCTGGCTGCAAAATTTAGGTTCGACTTGCAGCCGGAGAATCGACCTACAGACCGGGAAAAAAAACACAAAATGGAACAAAAACGGCCGGTTATGGATTAATCGGTTTTCAATGCATTGTAGGGCAATGGAGCCTCGACCTACAGACTTTTCGACCTGCAGCCACTGTTCCAATACGGATTAATTCCGTAAGTCGAGGGTCCACTGTATCACAAAACAAAAGCAAGACAATTTGTAGCAAGGAGAATGAAGCAAGCTGATTCTGGGATGTTTTAGAAGATGTTGTGTGTTCGTCTGTGCTTGCATATCAGGCAAAAACAAAAGAAAAATACAGAAAATAAAAAAATGTAGAAGGCATTTTAAAGAATAACTGCAAATATTTTAATGTGAGCTTTCGTGGATCAAGTCCACTTCCTGAGACACAAAAGTGGACTGATGGCTGTTTACTCCAGGATGAACAGTCCTATTTTGCCTTTTAAAGCTAGCTTGCTTGGATTAAAGGAGAGGTCTTTTGCCTCTTTGTGCAGTTCTGCCTCTAATGAGCAGAACCTCTAATTTTGGGCCTGAGATATTATCAGAAACGATAGGAGAAAGCTGCCCTTGTCCAGACCTTTGAAAAACATACTTTTCTTGGACTTCAGCCTCCAGAGTCTTCCAGTCGACGTGGCCAGCATCCATGCTGGTTAGGGGATTCTGGGAGTTATTATCCAAAAAAGTAACATTTCAAATCTCTCCTTCCATCAGTCTTGCTAGTGAGATTCATGGGATAGCATGTTCATTAGTGGTCACAAAGAGCAGGCAGGCAGCTACTTGAGCTCTGCTGATTATTTATTGGTTAGCTTTAGAGATGGGCAGGAATTCCCCACCTCTTCTGGCAGCTGACCACTCAAAAGCTGAAATGTGGTGCTGGAAAACAGCTCTGCAGATACCCTGGACTGCTAGATAGACAAACAAGTGGATCCTAGATCAAATCAAGCCTGAACTGTCCCTGGAGACAGACATGTTCAAGCTGAAGCTGTCCTACTTTGGGCATCTCACGAGAAGGCAAGATTCTCTGGAAAAGGCAATAATGCTGGGAAAGGTGGAAGGCAGCAGGAAAAGAGGGAGATCAAATGTGAGATGGACTTACTCCCTTAAACAAACCACAGGCCTGTGTGGGTGGGCGGGCCATGCATGCGGGGGGGGCAGGAAATCTGTTTCCGTGGCCCGATCCTGCCAGTGCCACAGACCGGCACTGGGCCATGGACCGGTGGTTGGGGACCCCTGTTTTAAGGTATTTCTCTTCTTCCTGAGAGTTCAGCAGCCATCACTTTCTTCTTCTCTCTTGTTTGGTTTTATCCCAGCAGCAGAAATACAGAAGCCCAGCTTAGGCGAAATCTCAGTCTTGGAAGTCACAGACCACTCTGCCCGCCTGTCCTGGAATGTGGCCACTGGGACCTTCGATTCCTTCCTGATCCAGTATAAAGACGCTGACGGCAAACCAAAGTCAGTGCCGGTGGGTGGAGATTCCCGCGAAGCTACTCTCTCCGAGCTGGTACCCTCCCGAAAATACAAATTCAACGTCTATGGACTAGTGGGCCGCAAGCGTTTCGGTCCCGTTTCAACAGAAGCTGTCACAGGTGAGCAATAAAACGTAGTGGTCTGCTCTTAAGAATTGAAATGAATCTGACAGGTGACTATGCTGGCTAATTACCCTGCAGTTTATATTGCATTTGTCATGGAGAAAAATGAAGGTAAAAAATTGGCAACTACACAACATACAGGTGAACAAGGGGGGGAGGTCCTAGGTTTTCTTTTCTTCCTATCATCTCGCTTTCTCAGAACAATTTTCCTTTTCTTTTTTTTTTAAGTTTGCTTACCAAAGCTACTGTTGTACCAGATACGCGCTATGTCACTTTTTTTTGGGAGGGGGATTGAAAGGAAGGGATGTTCCTAGAGGAAACTGCCAGTCTCAGCAAAGATGGCACTTTTCCTCATAATTATAGTTTTCTGCTTATGCTCCTGAGGACTCCTGTGATATGTTGAGTGTGGATGGCTACAGTGATTTCGTCTGTGGAAATCAGCAGGGACCTAGTCTGAAAAATCTGAAAGCAAATTGGGCTCCCCCGTGAAGTCGCAGTCTCAGATGGGGAATCGAACCAAACTTCCAAAAATCCAATTCAAATTTTAATTCCCCCCACCCCAAATCACCACCAAATTGAGCAGGTTGCTCCAAAATTAATTTTAATACGTTTTCTTTGATTTATCAAAGGAAAGGTAAGATATCAGTGTAAATGATAATCATGAGCCACATCAAAAGTCTTTAAAGGACAAATTAATAAGAATCATGTGCTATCAGGTCAGTTCTGGCCCTTTTCAGGGTTTTTCATGTGGAGAATATACAGAAGTGCTTTACCTTGCCCTTCCTCTAGGGGGAGCCCTGGGATTGGTCACCTTGCCCAAGGCCACCCAGGCTGGCTCTGCTCACAGGAGGCACAAGTGGGGAATCGAACTCTGAACCTCTGGCTCCACAAACAGATACTGTATTTGCTGGCATATAAGACTACTTTTTTGCCCTGAAAAACATGCCTTCAAGTGGGGGGGGGTCGTCTTATACGCCGGGTGCACTTCAGTTGGGATAGACATAGCTGCCTAGAGTAGCCTTCCGATGCTCGCTCGGTGCCCATAGTAGCCTCCTGATGCCTGCCCACCTCATTCTACATACTGGCCAGTATTGTGCGGTATTCAGTGCGGCCGCGCCGAACATCAGCAGCAAGACAGGGGTGCCAGCCTTTTCGACGTGACCGGCTCGTTCTGCTCGGTGGGAAGCAGTGGCGCTCCGGCCCACCCCTTGTCTACGCAGAACTCATACATGCGCACTTGCACACTAGTGCCCGTCACAGAGAGATGCAGGGGTGGGCCGGAGGCGCTGCGGTCGTGCTGCGGCTGTACAATGGTGACAATGAATAGTACCTTTTATTTGGTGTGTGGAAGGTGTGCAGAAGAGGGGGTAGTCTTATACGGCGAGTATATAACAAACTCTATATTTTGAGTGGAAATGTTGGGGGGTCCTCTTATACGCCCAGTCGTTTTATACGCCGGGTACCTAAACCATTGAGTGAGACATTTCTAGCTCAACAGCCATAAACAATAGGTAAAAGACATAGCATGACCTTGGACTGGTTGGGAATAGAAGATTCTTGCCTTGAGCAGGGGGTTGGACTTGATGGCCTTACGGGCCCCTTCCCACTTCACTCTTGTATGATTTCTGTTCTGATTTTCCCTATCTCTCTCTGACATGCTTTCCCTCCCTCCCTCTCCCCCCTCATATCTCAACAGCAAAGCCGGATAGGAAGGTGACAGCTCCCCCCAGCTTGGGAGAACTTTCTGCCTCCGACACGACCAGCGATTCTGTCCGTTTGTCCTGGAGTGTCCCATCCGGGAACTTCGACTCCTTCGTGGTCCAGTACAAGGATGCTGAAGGCAGGCCCCAAGTGCTGCCCGTGGAGGGGGACGCCCGCGAGGTCACGATCCCCAGTCTGGCTCCTTCCCGGAGATACCGATTCAACCTCTATGGCATTGCCAGTCGCAAACGTCTCGGCCCTGCCACCACCGATGTCACCACAGGTCAGGAGAAAAGATAATGACACCAGGATAAGCGCCTCCCTTCACTCTAAGAGGCCTGTTTCTCCTGCTAAACCAGTGGTTCCCAACCTTGGGTCCCCAGATGTTCTTGAACTAAAATCCCCAGAAGCCTTCACCACTAGCTGTGCTAGCTATGACTTCCGGGAGTTGTAGTCCAAGAATGTTTCGGGATTCAATGTTTCGGGATTCGGCGCAACAGCATTTACTTTTCTGGAGAAGTTGTCCTTGATTTCTGTTTCCCTCTGAACTTTTGTTGTTCTTGTTTAATCGTTTAAGTCATGTCCGACTCTTCGTGACCCCATGGACCAGAGCACGCCAGGCCCTCCTATCTTCCACTGCCTCCCGCAGTTGTGTCAAATTCATGTTGGTTGCTTCGCAGACACTGTCCAGCCATCTCATCCTCGGTCGTCCCCTTCTCCTCTTGCCTTCACCCTTTCCCAACATCAGGGGCTTTTCCAGAGAGTCTTCTCTTCTCATGAGATGGCCAAATTACTGGAGCCTCAGCTTCAGGATCTGTCCTTCCAGTGAGCACTCAGGGTTGATTTCCTTCAAAATAGATAGGTTTGTTCTCCTTGCAGTCCAGGGGACTCTCAAGAGTCTCCTCCAGCACCACAATTCAAAAGCATCAATTCTTCGGCGGTCAGCCTTCTTTATGGTCCAGCTCTCACTTCCATACATCATTCCTGGAAAAACCATAGCTTTGACTCTGCAGACCTTTGTCGGCAAGGTGATGTCTCTGCTTTTTAAGATGCTGTCTAGGTTTGTCATCGCTTTCCTCCCAAGAAGCAGGTGTCTTTTAAGCAGGCAACGAGTGGGCCAGGAAAGAGCACCTCCATTTCGGGTCCCCTCAGGCTGAGGCCGAGGGCTCCCCAAGACCCCTTTTGAGTAGCCTTGGAAGATGGATCCTGACCAAGCGGTGGTAAGAAAAAGGCATGGGGGTGCCTTCTGCTCTGGCCCAAACTATATGGGAAAGGGAAGGTCCCTCTGACTATCTGGCAAAGCGAGGCACCCCCATCCCAGGAGACAGATCTGGGGTCTCAGGCAAAGACGACTTGTTGTCATGATGAGCCCTCCCGTCGTGTGGCATCCGGGATTATGGCAACCTATGGAAGAAGGGGTCCTGCCCATGGCCTCCACTCCACCCTCTGCCCCCTGTGATTTTCAGGGATTCACTCAGGTTGCCCTGAATCTATCCCTCTATCCATGACATCACACTGGCTCTCTGTTAATGATCCTTTTTTTTCCCTATTGTAGCAATGACCAGAGGTAGAAAAAATGTTTTGTATGCTTGCTTCCTTCCTTTTGGAAAGCAACCTCCCCCCCAACACAAGCAGTTGTAGTCAACAACAACAACAATAAAATAGTAATATATCTAAGTTTCAGATAATTTGCCACTGCCCAGCAGGACCAAGGTATGCCTAGGAGTTTAGACTTTAAAACATAAACATAACATGTGAATTAGGCCAAGGTTTCTTAAATTGTGTATCCGCGAAGGCTTTCGCGGCTGGGATCTAATGATTGTTGTGGGTTTTTTGGGCTCTTTGGCCATGTTCTGAAGGTTGTTCTTCCTAACGTTTCGCCAGTCTCTGTGACCGGCATCTTCAGAGGACAGCACAGAACACGGCCAAAGAGCCCAAAAAACCCACAACAACCGTTTCAAATTTTCTTTTTTAGTCACGGATTCTGTGAGCTGACGTCGGCATCACCTAGAAGTTTTTCTCCAAGGTTAAGAAACACGGACTTAGCCTCTGCCCGGGCCCTAGAGAAAGAAGGCAAAGGGCTGCTGACGGTTTTCCTTGTCTCTTGTTCCGCTTCTCCACAGCAGCTGCCCAGGAGACGGCGCCCAAACCTCTGCTCGGGGACCTCTCCGTCCTCGAGGCCACAAGCGACTCTGTCCGTCTCGCCTGGAGCGTCCCCGAAGGCCACTTTGACTCTTTCTTACTACAGTACCGAGATTCCGAGGGCAAGGAACAAACGCAGCCTGTGAACCAAGATTCCCTGGAGGCGACCGTTTCCAATTTAAGGCCTTCCCAAACGTACCGGTTCAACCTTTATGGCATCTCCGGGGACCAACGCCTGGGCCCCGTTTCAGCTGATGCTGCCACAGGTTAGCCGCTTACTCAACTAGTCCAGGTTTTTACAGCCCCTCAGTTGAGGGTTTAGGGCTCATCCTCTCCTTCTCTGGTGGGGCTACCAGGATTAGAAAATATTTCCCAGTCCTTTGAAAAACCATGTCTTCAGGTGCTGTTATCAAAGCATTGGCCTGTTTTGTGATTACAGTGGTGCCTCGCTTTATGATTGTCCTGCATTACGATGAATCCACTTGATGATGATCTTTTTGCGATCGCAATTGCGATTGCAAAACGATGGTCTGAATGTGATTTTTTTGCTTTGCGAAGATCGGCTCCCTGCTTCGGGAACCGATAGATAGGTTCCCTGCCTTGGGACCCGATTCTTCGCAAAACATGTTTTTCTAATAGCTGATTGGCGGTTTCAAAATGGCCGTCGGGTAATTAAGATGGCTCCCCGCTGTGTTTAGGGACGGATTCCTCGCTATACAGGCAGCGAAAATGGCTGCCATATGGAGGATCTTCACTGGACGGTGAGTTTTTAGCCCACTGGAATGCATTGAACGGGTTTCAATGCATTTCAATGGGGTTTTTTATTTCGCTTTACGATGTTTTCTCTTAACAGCGATTTTCCTGGAACGGATTGTCGTCGTTAAGCGAGGCACCACTGTATTTCTCTGCACAGCTACAAAGTCTCATCAGCTTTGAGCTTGTTTCACTGGCATGACTCCTAAGGAACAAGAGAGAAACCACTGTTCTACTAACTAAGGCTCAAAGGGAGTTGCATTTGCATTATGAGATGCAAACATTGTGGTTCTCTTGAGATGCCAAAGAAAAATAAGATCTAGTAGGGATCCACAGGATTTGCAGTTTTACCCAGGCGCTGAAGGTGGGGTTGCTTGCAGTTCTACCGAGGAGTAGAGAGGGGCACAAACCAGTTCATCCCAGTTCATCCCAGTATGTGAAGGCACAGGTGCTGTTGCTCTTCTCCCTGCCTCCTCAACCTATCAAGCCACTCGCCAGGCCCAGCTTGCTTGTTTTTCCCACCCCCTCGGCTGATCTCCCAATCAGGAGCCAGAGCACAGACTTCTCTGCCCCGCCCTTTTCTCTGAGTAGGAGATCAGCCACGAGGGCGGGGCAGAGAAGCCTGAGCTGCTGCCAAGATTGGAAGATCCGTGGAACATCCGGGAGGCTGGGCCTGGTGAGTGGCTGATTGAGCCAGAAGAGACAGGGGAGCAAGGCAGCTGCATCTGTGCTGATGCCTTTACGAACTGGAACGAACTGAGACGAACTGCTTCGTGCCCATCTCTACTGAAGAACCAAGGGAACTGCTGTTCTACTAACTAAGGCTCAATGGGAGCTGCATTTGCACTCTATGGCACGCCAAACATTGCAGTTCTCTTGAGATGCCAAGGGAATGAAGATCTAGTAGAGAATCTCAGGATTTGCAATTTTACCAAGGTGGGGTTGCATTCAGTTTTACTGAGGGACTGGTGTTCCATTAAGGATCCACAGGGATTTTAGTTGTGCTAAAGGAGAATTAGTGTTCTGTTAAGAAGCCTGGAATGGAATGGCCATTCTGCTCAGGAGGTAACAATCTCTAAAGAAACCTTAGTGTGTCTACAAAGGAATAGATCTCAAGATTCTTTAGGACAGTGCTGTCCAATCTTAGGTCCCCAGATGTTATTGGGGCTAAAGCCCCCGAAATCCTGAGCAGCACAGTTAATGATGAAGGCTTCCGGGAATTTTAGTCCAAAAACACCTGGGGGACCCTAGGTTAGGTACTAGTGCTTTGTTGTTGTTGTTGTTGTTGTTGTTGTTGTTGTTGTTGTTGTTGTTGTTGTTGTTGTTGTTGTTGTTGTTGTTGTTGTTGTTGTTGTTGTGGAAGGCTTCTGGGAATTTTAACCCAAGAACACCTGGGGGACCCTAGGTTATGCTGCCCTGCTCTCTCTGGGCAGTTTATAGTTTCATTATGCAGGATAAACATTGCCTCCTCCCCCAGTGAGCTGAGTACTTGATGTACCAACTTCAGAAGAATAGAAGACTGAGTGAACCTTGGGCCCATTGGGATCAAACTCAGGTTGTGGACAGAGTCTTGACAGCAGTACTGCAGTTTAACCACAAGGCTTTCCTGAGACAGGGGAAGACCATGGGCTTTAAACTGTCTTTCTTGATTTACCAGTTATTGATGTAATCAACCTTCCTTCCTAAGACCTGCTGATGAATTACAAGAGTTGGTTAGCTTTCCTTGTGCCCTGTTTTGTTGACTTGACTTCTTCTTCTTGTTTTTTCTTAAAGTCCCTATAGCAGTTTCTCAGGAAACCAAAAAGGAGACGCCGGATGAGCCCCTCTTGCCTCAGCCCAGCCTGGGGGAGCTGTCGGTCTCTGAGGTCACCAGCGATTCTCTCCGCCTCTCTTGGACGGTCCCAATGGGGAACTTTGACTCGTTTCTCATCCAGTACAAGGACTCCGAGGGCAAGACTCAGATGCTACCCACCAAGGGGAGTTCCCGCGAGAGGACCATCTCCAACCTCGCTCCTTCCCACAGATACAAGTTCAACTTGTATGGAGTCTCCGGGTTGACAGCAGTACTGCAGTTTAACCACTGCGTCACGAGGCTTTCCTGGGACAGGGGAAGACCATGGGCTTTAAACGGTCTTTCTTGATTTACCAGTTACTGATGTAATCAGCCTTCCTTCCTAAGACCTGCTGGTGAATTACAAGAGTTGGTCAGCTTTCCTTGTGCCCTGTTTTGTTGACTTGACTTCTTCTTCTTGTTTTTTCTTAAAGTCCCTATAGCAGTTTCTCAGGAAACCAAAAAGGAGACGCCGGATGAGCCCCTCTTGCCTCAGCCCAGCCTGGGGGAGCTGTCGGTCTCTGAGGTCACCAGCGATTCTCTCCGCCTCTCTTGGACGGTCCCAACGGGGAACTTTGACTCTTTTCTCATCCAGTACAAGGACTCCGAGGGCAAGACTCAGATGCTACCCACCAAGGGGAGTTCCCGCGAGAGGACCATCTCCAACCTCGCTCCTTCCCACAGATACAAGTTCAACTTGTATGGAGTCTCCGGGCGCAAGCGCTCGGGCCCCATCTCAGCAGATGCCACCACAGGTCAGCAGAAGGAGCCCGCTTGGTTTCCCTGGAATTGCCTTCTCATTCTAACCTTCTCTGTTTTCTCAAGGACAGCCTTGGTGGCAGAAGCGATGGCCTAGAGCTTGGATTTCTTGCTTGCACATTCCCTGCTGTGACAATTTGCAGCTTCCACAAATAGTTTATTCGGGGTTTCTCGTTCTTGTCTGTCTTTTTCCCCTCCTGCTCCCTCCCTCTTTCTCTCCCAGAATCTGTTTCTCCCCCCACCTTCTTTTGTTTTTTGCTTTTTTCGGGCGAAATCTGGTTGCACAGCCTCGTGTGCACAATGGAGCTGATGTCATCATCGGTAGCAAATCACCACTAATTAAAGAGAAATTACCACTGATTAAAAGTCATTTTGGGGTATGCATGACTTGCACGTAACATGATGAAGTTGTTTATATCCCACAAATCTGCTGCTGCTGCTGCTGCTGCTGCTGCTGCTGCTGATAATAATAATAATAATAATAATAATAATAATAATAATAATAATAATAATAATAATAATAATAATAATAATAATAATAATAATAATAATAATAATAATAATAATAATAATAATAATAATAATAATAATAATAATAATAATAATAATAATAATAATAAAGGTAGAAAATACTCAGAAGCTGTTATTCTGGGGGGTGCCCTGGGAGTGTGCAGCTTGCCCAAGGTCACACAGGCTGGTTCTTCTGGGAGGCACAATGATGAACATCTGGCTCCACAGCCAGCCACCTATCTCACTGAGTTATCCAGCAAAGGGATCCTTTAATCTGCAGATATTTGCTGCTGCTGCTGCTCCTTACTGCTGACATCATCCCCCTTGCAATAACACAGAGCTGTGCAATAGGACTTCAGCCTTGGTTTGTTTGTTTCATGGCACCTTCTGCTTCCAGATCATCTCTTGAATGTAGGCGTATGTGCAAAGGGACAGCGCTGTTGTGGCCCTGCTGGCTTGGGAGATGCTGGGAGTTGTCTTACCAAGGAAACTGTTCTAAGGCCTCACCGGCTGGTGCCCCAATTTCTTGCTGTTTCTAGAGCAGTGGTTCCCAACCTCGGGTCTCCAGATGTTCTTGGACTGCAACTCCCAGAAGCCTTCACCACTAGCTGTGCTGGCAAAGGCTTCTGGGAGCTGCAGTTCAATAGTGTTTGGGGACCCAAATTTGGGCACCACTGCTCTAGAACCACCAATAAAACAACAAACGGAGTCACTTAGGCTGCGGAACCTGAATTTGGGAGTTCAATTCCCCAGGAACTGGTCCCTTCCAGCTCTGCATTTGCAAGATTATTAACCAGAGGCCAACTCACTTGGTTTCTGCAGGATGTTAAAAAGTCCCTTTGTTGGACCAAAGTTTCTGGACTCCTGCAGCCAGGATGCTCACTGGCCATGCTAGATGGGGAATTGTGCCCCAAAAGGCTCTAGGTTTGCAGTGAGATGTCTGACTGACTACCTTAGGAGTGAAACCCAAAGGGGTGTTTGTTCTTGTTATTTGCCCAGTGTTTCCTTCCCCCACTCCGGCATCATTCAGGAAGGACGCTAATTGAATGACACCCGCTGCCAGCACTAATGCCCATTCCTTTCTCCGTTTGCTGCCTTCTGCTGCAGCCTCGCAGGACGTGGAGGCGCAGGCTGAAATCCAGCCCAGCCTGGGGGAGCTCTCGGTTTCGGACATCACCAGAAATTCTGTCCGTCTGTCCTGGACCGTCCCCGCCGGGAACTTTGACTCTTTTCTCGTCCAGTACAAGGATGCAGATGGCAAGCTCCAGTCACTTCCTGTGCAGGGGGATTCCCGGGAGGTCCTAGTCCCCAACCTAGCTCCTTCCCACAGGTACAAGTTCAACCTGTACGGAGTCTCCGGCCGCAAGCGCTCAGCACCCGTCTGGATGGATGCCACCACAGGTCAGCAGCAGCAGCAGCAGGATCCAACCTTCAGCAACTTCACCCCTGACACTAACTTCTCTATTTCCTTTAAGCATTGGTTTACGTCACGCTTGGCCTTATTCATTTCTTCATAGCACCGGCTGCGCCACGAACTTTCTACAAATTGCCTCTGTGTTGTGTCTTTTTTTTTTTCTTGGCTCTTTCCTCTTTTCTTCTCCCCCCCCCCTTTCTGTTGTTTGGTGCTGAAAGAGGGTAAGACCGGGATTTGTGTCCAGGCATCTCTTTAAAATTCTGCTTCTCTTAAAGAGATTCTCTTTCTCTTTGCTACTGCTCCGTCTTTGTTGTATAAGTTAAAAGCTTCCAACGGTACTTATTGTACCAGCCTTGGAAAGAGGGAGGGCTGAGTGAACCTTCAGCCAGCTAGCTGAACCCATCGGAATTGAACTCAGGTCGTGAGCAGAGTCCTCAGTGCAGTACTGCAGCTTGACTACTGCGCCATGAGACTTCCTGCCCCCCAGTACATGGTGTGGTTAAAAATAAACCCGTGGTTTCAGGAAGAACAAAAAGAAGCGGAAAGATGCAGGAAAAAAAGCACCGTGTGAAGGAAGAAAAGGGGAAGGAAAGGCTTCATATGGAAGAGCCCTCTGTCTTTGGCATGGAGTGGCTAACAAACAGGAATTGGTCCCAGTATTTGTTGCAGAATTTTAAAATTTGGATTAGTTCCTCTAGCTGTGCAGTACGAGTGCAGAGATTCACAGCAGAGATTAGCTTTAAGTCTCCCAGTTTAGTTCACATTTTATTTCATCGACTGGCACTTACAGTCTCAATAACTCGCTCTGAGACATGAGTTGGAAAGAGAATACAACTTTCATTTACCGTATTTGCCGGTGTATAAGGCGACTGGGAGTATAAGACGGCCCTCCAACATTCCCACTCAGAATGTAGAGTTTGTTATATACTTGCTGTATAAGACTACTCCCTCTTCCGCATGCGTGATTCTGCTTTGGCTGCATCATGGGGAGAGTTCCTTTTG